ACCACTGGCTATCGTGCAGGTCACGGGTTCAACTCCAGGGAACTGTGCAGATACTGTACACAGGTAAGCTGAGGTCAAGGGATCGACCCCTGGGATCTGCATCGGCTACTGCCAAAGGTGAAAACTGTTTCAATATACTGAACACCTCCTGAAATCCACCGCAGGTTTCCGAACACTTGAGTATCTAAGGGATTTCCAACAGATCGTAACAACACTCACTGAAACCGACTTATTCTCTGACAAACTCATCTAGGCCTCACGCCCCCTTTCTGCTAGGTTACAGAGCAATGCGACTCACTCCAGCTCCGGCCAGTGTCGTCCTATGTCAACAACCCCCAACTGTCCTTTAGGATGCCCCCGCATAGCATCCCCAGAACTCTCTACAAGGCCTCATGCCCTCACCTTCAGCAAGTTACAGGGCATCACCCCGGCTCCAGCCAGCGTCGTTCTGGCATTGAACAGCTACGGATCCTGAATATAACAGTCTGATTTCAGTGTAGATTCGTATAAACCGCCAGCAAACCCTCAGAGTCCCGAGAGATTCTTCAAACTACCAGGAATAACAAGGGTGCTTGTTTTGAGAACTCAGAAAAATCAAGAAGTATAGAAATACCCCCCTGTCCCCCTCATCCCCCTGCCCCACCGCTGCCTCCGCCAAAAAGGACCGCCCCTGATCACGGGCACTCCTCATCGGCCCCAACTTGGGACAGACCCGTTTCCCCCCTACTCCCACAAATGCATCCAGTTCCCACCCAAAGAATGCCTTTGCCAACCCCTTGCCCTAGTCTGCCCCCGCTGTGGTATGATGCCGACCCATACATCTCCCCCAGCCCCAGAATACAGCATCCCCCAAAATCTGCCCCATCTCCCTTCAGGGCAATCACCTCCCTCCTTGTGAAGCCCTTGCAGAGTAGAGCTCTCCCCCTCAGAACCAGCCCACCACCCCACTAGAAAAAAATTGTTTTATGTTGAAGAGGAGTATCCGAATTCTGAACGTTTTTGTAGATTATTCCCCTTCCTTTCCTCCATCTCCCCCTGTCCTTCCGCTGCCGCCACCGAAAAGGACTGCCCTGATCACAGGCTTCCTTTATCGGCCGCCAACTTGGGACATACCTGCTTCCTTCCCCATCTTCCACTAAGGCATCAAATCTGCCTCAGCCAACCCCTTACCCCAAACTGCCTCCGCTGGGATATGATGTCACCCCATACATCTCTCCCAGCCCCAGAAATAGGGCATCCCCCAAAATCTGCCCCCACTCCCTCCAGGGCATTTCACCCCCCGCCTTGTGAAGCCCCTGCAGAGTGGAGCTCTCCTCCTTAAAACCCCGACCCCCCACCGGCTCAAAAATAATTCATTAGTATGCCCAAAGGGGAATTAAAGATTAATAGTGGAGAAAAGGAAAAACACTTCCAATCGAAATTTTCGAAAATCGTGATGGAGAAAGGGTAGATGAGTTTTTTTTTTTTTTTGGATTTTGTTGATGCCGGTGAAGAACACCCTGAAGATGATGATGATTAGGAAGATGACAGAATGACGATGCTGATCATGCTAAAGAGCAGCACCGACCCTTTGATTACAAACTATTAATGATGATTGATGCTGATGATGCTGACGCACAGCGCCCAGTAATGACTACAGAATTATGATGGTGGTGATGGCGAGCATCACTAATGATGATGATTTGATGATGACGATGATGATGGTGTTGATGGCGAACATCACTAATGATGATGATTGGATGATGACGATGATGATGATGATGATGATCATCATCATGATGACGCACAACGCCCTATGATGACAAGGATGATGATGGTATTGATGACGAGCACCTTTGATGATAATCCCGATGATGATGATGATGATGATGATGTTGATGATGCTGATGATGCTGATGATGATAACGTAACTAATGGTGTTGATGACGAGACCTTTGATGATAGTACCCTAATGATGATGATGGTGGTGACGAGCGGCACCCTGATGATGATAACGAAACATTACCGTGATGACGATGTCGATGATGATGATGAACCACGGCCTGTTGATGATGCTGATGATGATGATGATGACGAGCTAATGATGATGATGATGATGACGAGCAGCACCCTCATGATGATGATGCTAGCAAACCTTGATGATGAAGCCTTGATGATGATGGTGACGAACATCAGCTTGATGACGAACTGCGCCCCTGATAGCCTCATTGTGATGACGATAACAGTGTTGATTGTACTTGATAACACGTCCAAGCTGCGCTCCTGAAGACGAAAGCAGCGGGGTGATGTCGAATCACGACCTACTAGTGATAGTGAGAGCAAGGATGATGGCGAGCAGCACCCTAATGGCTGGCCGTTACTGTAATCACTCACACTTTAGGGTACCTAGGGCTAACTCCACTGTACTCCACAGGCATCGACAAAGCCGACGCCTCTTAGGCCGAAAGCCACGTGCAGCAACGCAGCGGCAATGGAGCAAAACGTGGAACTCCCAGAAACTGAACGCCACCGGGAGTCAGACCACCTGCCACGTCAACTCGTGACATGGTGTGGTCAAGCGCCTGCGGTCCCCTGCGCGTACGCTAAGCGCCAGGACTTAAAAAAAGGCCGCCATCGCCACCACGCGCCATCTCCAGGAACCCGTAGTGTCGGGCGGGGCGCAGCGCTCCCGGTAACGCTGCGCCCCTGTCAGAACTATCAATTCATTTTATTTTATTTTGCCAGCTCTAAGTGAAGGCGGGCCTGAATATTCGTCAGAGGCAAAATTCGACATTTCCATGTGTGGGTGTTCAGGCTCTCGCAGCACGCCAGTTGGTTGGGTAGACGCGTGAGCCTCACAAAACTGTGTCATACAGTTGGCCCAGGCCTTGACAGCTGCGCCTGGGCACATACACACAAAGCAGGGCCGATACATTGGGAAGCAGGCCATCGGCCTTTGCTAAAGCAGTACCACCGACGCACCTGCCTGGGAGCCCTGCACAGATGCAGCAAAAAGCCCAAGTCCGGAGACTCAGGCTGTGCCCAACTGTAAAGGGCCCAGGCCCTCAACTGTAGTCTTGGGCCTGGGCGCAGGGTCTGAGGCCCAACCGGAAGCTACTGGAAGCTTCCAGCCAGGCCACACACAGCATCCAGGAGGCTGCCACTTCCACAAAAGGAGTAGGGCAGTCCAGGCCAGGCATTCTGGCCAGTGCCGGCAATGCGAAAGTGCTGCTGCGCTCTCGCTTGATGCTGCGCTGCTGCCAAAGGCGCTGACAGGGCGCATAGTGGTGAGGAGTGGCGATGCAGGGCAGCAGGGCGCAGGCAGCCATAGCCGAGCTGCTGGGTGCCAGGGGGTACAGCCGGCGATCTGATGGTCTTCAGGGAAGGAGGCGCAGTGTGGGGTCATCAAAGTCTGATTGAGGGTGACAAGATACATACCTGGTACATGAAGAGAGGTCGGCGATGGTGTTGACAACCATGTACATTGGTCTTCGAGAGTCGAAGTGAGCCTGTTGCGTGAACCAGCTGTAGGTAGGATAGTCGGGTAGAGTAGGCTGGGCGCTGAGCGGCAGACAGAGAGGAGCGACTTTGGATACTGCGTTGGTGTGGCCTACGGGCTTGAACATTGGCTCATTACTTCATTGTATTCCTCTATATGGATGGTTTCTCGGTGCATTTTGTACTCTCTGCTTGGATACGACTATCTTGACATCTGTGTGATTTCGCAACTTGGTTTCTGTATATCGTTCACACTCATATTCCTTGCACCCGTACAAAGTTCAATCTATTCCCCTTACCCTCCTACCTTTCCCCCTTCCAGAAAACATTCGAAAGAAAAAACTTTCTTTTCCCCTTTCCACTGTCTCTTTTCTATCCTAAACCTGCCTGTTATTCCGGCCGTCACATGGCTCCCATGCTGAAAATCGTTGTTAGTCGCTATGCTTCTGATGTTCTTTGACAAAGCGACCTGCTGTATCGTACTTTCTGGACACCATATACAAACCTGCGGCCTTGCTATGTTTAAAAATAATATGACGTGTCCTGCTGGACATCCGTTAAAATTGGAGCAATACGCACAGAAAAGATTAACATGGCCCCTGCGCAAGGATGGCACGCATAAATCGACAAAAATGATCCAAAATTCCAAATTAAAATATTAAAAAATATCGACCGAACAGATTTGCATCGACCTGCATGTATGCCTGCAGGAAGAAATGTCTGGAAAAGAAACAAGAGCTAAGGAAGAGGCTTTATCGTGCGAGGGAGCACCGCAAGTCATCAAGTCAGCGGGCCATTTTTCGCATGTGGGTGGAGGGTGCATCGACGACACGGCATCAACAATACCTCCATTGGCTGGCACACCAGCACTACCTTCAAACTCTGATGGTGAATGCCTTGGAAGGCCTCGTTGCATATACACAGATTCGGAAATGTCAAAGGCATCTCCTGGCGATGTTATCCCATGCTTTAGGAAATGGGTTATCTAGAAGCGTAATAAGGTCATGGAAGACGGTTGCACACTCCTCAAGGCAGCAGAGGAAGCGCATGGATCAGGCCTTGCAAATGATGCAAAGCAAGCGGTTGCAGGCATGTCTAAGATCATGGAGGCTGATAACGACATATTCCAGAGATCGCAGGAAGACGGTGAGTTCTCGTTCTTTTCGCAAAAAAAAAGAGGAGGAAAAATGGTGAGCGAGCTTGGCAACCAGAGTGGCCCGGGACCACTTGCCCGGCCGGGCAAAAAAGAAGGAGAAGAAAAAAAAAAAATATATATATATATATAGATATATATATATATATGACACCTCTTCCTTCACTCTGCCTCTTTCCCATAGCGTGCAAGTGGGCTGTTATGGCATACGGGGATGGGGGCAGCTCGCGCTCAACTTCATCAACGTGGCGAGCCTTGTACGTTAGAGGCACAGTGGAGGAGGCGTTAAGAAGACTGAGAAACTGAATGATTTCAATGTGTCTTTGTTTTTTGATCCTTTGATTCAGTGTAAATAATTTTTGTAAAAGACTGAAAGAAATAATAATACTGTGAAACGAAGTGTCATTCTGGTTTGTCTGTCTCTTTGCCTGTCTTTCCTTTCATTTTTCTTTTCTTTGCTCATCTTGTTTCTTCTTCTACTTCACAT